TAATAAAAAAAAAATCAATTATGCAATAATTTCAATTGATGTTTTTGCACCATCTAGTTGGTAAAGGTTTTAATAGCCATATGGAGAATATAACGAACTTTGCAAAATTATGAAAACAAACACCTTATTTTAAAAAGTAATACATATGATTTTAAAAGATACACCATCTCGGCCGAGGGTAGGGGGGCTGACCTTTTTTACCTATATGTGTTGTATTGCTGGTAGTAAACCTAAAGTTATGACATCATACCCAGCACATATAGTACAATAACATGATCAAATGTGCAGATACAATGCTAGAAAACCAAGTCAATAGAATGGTTATTGGAATGTTGCACTCCCAAATCCCAATGACGATTTATGCTATGCTAGTGATTATACAATAGATATTCCAGTTCACTTAAAACAAAACAAACTCAATATATAAAATAACTTGCTCTACCACTACTGCTATTCTACTTTTAATGAATGTTATATAAATTATTAAAACTTCTGCCCATTGGAGTGGTCTTGGTGCCAACTCCCACTACCCTTAACCCTGCAAGTATAATTATTGCAGTTTTCATAAACGGCAATATTTACCTTGCAGGGTTAAGTCCTCTTCTAGTGGCTGTCTACTAGACAGCCACTAGAGGGACTTCCGTGTTCATAGAACACGAAAAGTGTTTTAAAACAACACTAGACGTCCTCACGCTATGTGAGGACCTCCAGAGTCGCCGAAATCCCCATAGGAAAGCATTGTATAATTTTTTCCTAAGAGGAAGTCTAATGCGTGTGCGTGGTCATTGCCACGCATGCGCATTAGGTCTCCCCCACCGGCTGATGTCAGCGGGGGAGGAGTATGGGCAGAACCTGTCCCAGCGCCGAGGGACATTGACGCTGGACTCCGGTAGGTCACTGAAGGGGTTTTAACCCCTTCAGCAACTTGGGATCGGGGGTAAGAGGGGGAGGGGCACTAAAGGGTAGCCACTAAAGGAGAATCCCTTTAAAGCTAGGATAACCTTGTGCCTATCCCACGCATGATTAAACTCCTTCACCGTGTTAACCTCTACTATTTCAGCTGGAAGGCTATGCCATGCATACACTACCCTCTCAGTAAAGTAATACTAGCTGATATTTTTTAACCTTTGCCACTCTAATTTAAGGGGTTAAGAATATGTCCTTTTGTGGTAGTTTTTCTTCTTTTAAATATAGTCTCCTCCTTTACTGTGTTGATTTCCTTTATGTATTTAAATGTTTCTATCATATCCCCCCTGTCTCATCTTTCCTCCAAGCTATACATGTTAAGATCCTTTAACCTTTCCTTGTTATGCCATTAATCAAGACAGAGGCAGTTACAATTGTTATTGGACCTCAGTGGTCATCTTAATCGACCAGTGGTGGAGTGGAACAATAGTTGTGCCAAACATAATCTGGAGAGCCATAATCACAAACAGTTAAAGCAGGTAAACAGTAGTGATAACTAAAAAAAAGTGTTCCCTTTTAATTTGGCAGGTTTCATCACCGACAGACACAAGCAATTTTGATAGCTTTCCAGAGGATAATGAAGATCCACCTCCTGATGACAACTCGGGATGGGATATAGACTTTTAATGCATCTTTCTTACCTGCTTCTGCCTTGCTGAAGACAGCTTTCCTGAGACATGGCTGCCAAGATAACAAAAGACAAGGAACGGGGGAAGACTAGTGCTCGGGGTCACCATGATGCCTTGAACGATGCTGCTACAGTAATTACAGTGGCATTAGGACTTTTTGCTTAGATGACAATGCTCTTTAACATGTTTTATGTTTGACCTTAATAAGCAGTTGACATGGTGGTCCTGAAGCAAAGCCTCTTCATTAATTACAAATAAGAGTTAAAGAGAAAAAATATATATGCTTTCTATCACTGCGATAATTTCCCAGATTTTTATTTGAAAAATGTAGCGTACATCATTTTAAAAATGTACATACTTTGAATCTAGTGTTATCCATAGGAAGAAACAAACTATATCCATGCGAAGGTCCATGAAAATTGGAATCTGTTAATCTTTAGAGTATGTAAACTGGTATCTTACTGCAGGTCAGAATATATAATGTGGAATTTATTTATCAAGATTTTACCCCAATGGTGCCCTGCAGCAAAAAATATAATAATAAGTAAATGTATGGTTATTGATAAGTATTATGATGAACCTTCCCCAGTGTTACAAAAAAAATAATATATATTTTTGTTTTGCAAAATCCCATTCATCACAAGGACCACATAACCATTTGGTCATTATGTTCATGTCATACCAATTCTTGAAACTGTTTTATTTTCCATATGTGTTCATGACAAAATTGAATGTTACATTTTTGTTTCTTAGATTTTTAAAAATTCTATTAATAAAAGCACAACTGCTACATATGCTGTTCAAAACTATCATGAAAGTTGAATTCATTCATTCTCATTTAGAACTCTGAATGTAGCAAGCAATTGTTTTTCCCGTTTCCATACTGCTCCATTGTAAATGGATATCAAAAGAAAAGGGAAAACAAAATTCACAAGTCTGGCACAAATACATTACACCTGATTTTGGGAATTATGTGACCTAAATGGTTTATCTAAACTCTTAAAGCTGAGATAGATTGTTAATATCCATTTACAGTACGAGTTTAGATTAACATCTCACATATCATCAACTAGGTCACACCCTTTCAACTATCCTAAAATATATTTTGCTATTATTTTGAAGAGCATTTTGTTTAAAAATAAAAAGCAGATATTAAGGGGAGGCATTTGAAAGAATATGCCAATTTTTACATGGTCAAAATACCAATATATTCTACTGGATGGCTTAGAGTTCCACGTTGTAAAAATTGGAAGTTGGCATGACTGCCAATGCACTATCCACTTCCTTTCTATGTTCTTTGATGATCTCTATGGTCTTCCTCCACTATGAGAAGATTGGAGTTGGAGTCCACACGTAAAACTACATTCATCCCCAAATGTGAGTGGGCAAAATCAGTCACCATTCATGCTGTGAAACCAAGGCTCTCCAGGAAAGTTCATGTGCACTCATCATAATATTGTACGTTTTTGTTTTTTCTTCAAATAACTTACATTTTGTCAATGTAAGAAGACCAAAGGAGTGTGATGACTAGATGCACAGTGCTACTTTCCAGATCATAATTTGTACATGATATCACATGTATGCAAGTAGCTAGTTGGGGACACTTCCTCTCCGAGGAAATGTAGGCCATTTTCTAATGGTCAGGGTATCACTAGTGGTAACATTATATAAATGCCAGTTTGTTTTCTAATGCTCTTTGACATAAGAGCAATTTATATTGTAATATTCCTACTTTAAACAAACTTCAGTTCATCACCACTGAATCACAATGCAAGATCTTTGACTCTATAATGGATAAACTTGGAACTTTCAGACTGTAAACCGTGTGATAAAATGTCTCATTTAATGAAGCCAGTTAGATAGACATCCTAAATGATAATGAATGTTATTACATTATTAGACACACATGCATTATTTGAATCCATGTAATTCTGTTATTACTTGGGTGAAAATAAATTGTAAGGTTGTTACATGTATATGAACAGGCAAAGGAATGGAAAAAAAATAGTTATTTGTTGTAAACAAGAACATTTTCATGTTATCTTGGTGCTATGTAAATACTCACTCTATGTACACAACAATTATAACTATATGTACAAATAATTTGGTTTTGCCTAGTAACAACCTTACATGTAAAAAATCATTTTAGATTTTTATTTTTATATTTTTTGTGTGTGTTTCCACTTTTTTCCCACTTTCACGTAACTGTTTTAGAACAATAGTTTAGGGTTTATAACATTCATCCATTTGGGATGGGATTTATTACTAGACTATATGGTAACAATAATGAATTATGCATTTAAATAAATTCTGAAATATATCGCTATATAAGGAATTTCAGACCCCAGCAGTGTTACAACTGTATTTAAACAGAGGTATTATTATATGCACATACTCGCACCCTTGTAAAAAAAAAAAAAAAGTTAAAAGGTACACAGATAGAATGTAGCAAAATATACTCCAATAACTTGAAATAAGTTTATAGTGTAGCCAATTCCACTTAAAAGCGTAGTTGAAATTGAACTGTAGTGGTTTGCCAGTGCCCATGTGTAGCAATAAAGAGAGGCGCACAATGTGATATATTATTAACAAGGATTAATCTTCTGTATGATTGCATACCTTTACTATAACAGATGGTACAGATGGTACGTAAAAATGTGTTGAAAAACACGAATGATAAATACAAGCAAGATTGAAGGGACACTATAGTCACCTGAACAACTTTAGCTTAATGAAGCAGTTTTGGTGTATAGAACATGCCCCTGCAGCCTCACTGCACAATCCTCTGCCATTTAGGAGTTAAATCCCTTTGTTTATGAACCCTAGTCACACCTCCCTGCATGTGACTTGCACAGCCTTCCATAAACACTTCCTGTAAAGAGAGCCCTATTTAGGCTTTCTTTATTGCAAGTTCTGTTTAATTAAGATTCTTATCCCCTGCTATGTCAATAGCTTGCTAGACCCTGCAAGAGCCTCCTGTATGTGATTAAAGTTCAATTTAGAGATCGAGATACAATTATTTAAGGTAAATTACATCTGTTTGAAAGTGAAACCAGTTTTTTTTTCATGCAGGCTCTGTCAATCATAGCCAGGGGAGGTGTGGCTAGGGCTGCATAAACAGAAACAAAGTGATTTAATGCCTAAATGACAGTGAATTGAGCAGTGAAATTGCAGGGGAATGATCTATACACTAAAACTGCTTTATTTAGCTAAAGTAATATAGGTGACTATAGTGTTCCTTTAAATTGTTATTTGCCCAGAAAAAGGACAAACTATATTTACCATCTACGTACCTCAGAAGCATTATGAATATTAACATCCAATCAATAAGATGTTTTTTTGTTTTGGTTTTTTTGGTGTTTGTTTTTAATCTTTGTGGGGAGATTTTATACTTTTTACTAATTAATTTTATTAGCCCAGTAGATCGTTATCCTTTATGCTTCCAATCTGTATATTGATAGAGACTGAGGTCTGTTCTGGGGCTGAGCCACCCAAAAGCAAAAAGAGCACACACTTCTTACAACCCAAACATATTACCTTGCCACTAAGCACCATAAGCAGTATAGCTTTTTATAATGGCTACGATGCTGGGTAGCCATGCTCCTTGGAAGCATGCTCTATAAATTCTCTCAAAATCATTTTATTTTCTTGTAAATATGTAGCCCTCAAGCTCCACCCCCATCCTGACTGAATTTGTATGAGGAAGACTTGAGAGTGAGCATATAAGCACACACAGCTCTGCTCCGTTCTTGGCTCGGAGTGCTGGGCAGAGAATGGTGCTATGTGAATGTGTGCTTATGATGAGAATTAAAAGATAGACAATGCCACAGATTCATGGCACCACAACCACTATAATAAGTTATATGTGTTATAGTTCTTTGTGGGCCATACTAATTATTTAGTCCAACATGTTTGCAGTTTAAAATGTATCAAACACACACTACTGGTTCATATACAAAGTAAAACACACTCAATTCAAAGTGTAGGTTGTGGTCATTAAGAAAGTTTATATTAATTAGACACATCACAAATCAGACATAGGTGGAATGTATACAAAGCTTGAGCAGAAACCCTTGTTTTAATAAAGTTATCAAATAGTGTTGAGTGGCTTAATCGTCTAATGGAAATGTACAGCAAAACTTCAATATTATTGCTGGTTTTTTGTTTTTTTTATACTGGCTAAAGCACCCACGTAATATGTCCTCACTGTAATAAGTCCAAAGAATGGAGCACTACTAATACTGTAGATCTTATAATCAATACATTAGTTCATGTGACTATCATATTAATACATAAATCATCACTGACAACTTGCATATATACATTTCCTGCTTCTTTCAATATATATATATATATATATATATATATATATTTTATTAATGTTTTAATCTTTTGTTTTTGCCAGAAGACCTGTTTTGCAGGATATTCCTTTGGTTAAAGCAAATAGCACAAACAGGTCACAGATGATTCAGATCCCAGAGCGTAAGAGCCTGAGTGATGTGCTATGCATTCACCGGCATGCATTTGATTACAAACATTTACAGAATATAACCATAAAAACAGCTAACATTATTCTGAAAAATCATCTACCAATGTGTTTTTTTTTTTTTTTGTTTGTTTCATCGTTGTGATTGTTTCTGAAATTAGTGGTTTATGGTTAAAGGTGTGCTATATGCAAAGCATGCGCTGCATGTTCCTACTCATTTTTCGTTATTGCTTGTATCTTGAAATAATTGGGTAGAAGCAGTTACACTGTCATTATGTTACCGTGGCTGTAGATAATTAAGAAAAATGTAAACAGTGGGTTGTCATCATGAATGTGGATATTTATCTAAAGAAGGTAGACAAAGACAAGCCAGACAATGCTGTTGTGTATAGCAGATCAGTATTTAGATTTGTCATGATACATCAATTGCGTGGACGCATCTCATTTTATTGGGAGTTGTTCACTAACCAATGAGTGGGATGACAACCAGTTTGCAAAACATAGGCTAAAAAATCCAAAACTCAATAAAGTTGGGTTATTTTTCCAGCTCGACTGTTTAGCCACAACTTTTGTGAGTTAACTGTGAACTTCCCACTACTCATTTTTTGGTGAACACACACCTTGTTTTCTGTTTCTTTGTAGAGGTACAGTATCGTCGTTCTGTAATAGTTGCATATTCATATCACCCTTTACATGCCATGCGTATGCTCAACAACTTGAGTTGCCCTACCTGGTGGCATGCCAAAGGACTTCAAACCATTGAGCAATTAAAACAAGTATGTCAGGGCTTGGTTTGCAAGGTGCCGGTGTACATGAGGTCACTATATTGCATATATCTACTTTGGCCTCTAACATTGTGGTAGGCCTGCCGTCAAATACAGTATTTGTGTAAATATTTTGTGTTAAGATTTTGTATGACATGCAATGTAGTAACTCTTGATCTAAAATTCTCACATCATAAATTCATCATCTTTTTCTAGTCTGTAAAGTGTAGTGTTTTATAAAGTAAAAGTAGACTTGAACTATTGTCATTGTCAGTATTAGTGAACTATGTCAACTGTACCCTGTTCTACATCCGTTTCATAGTTCTTTACCATAATGTGTTTTGGCATTGTTAAAAGTGCCTTAAATTCATGGCGTTTTCTGATAAGTTAAAAAAATAAAAACAAATTGGTGTTATGCTGCATGACAAAGACAAACACACCTCAAAATGTTGTCCTTTCTTAGCTTGCCGCGTTTTACAGTTTATTCTGCTGAAGATTTATAAACCTTTATTATATATTGAAGAGATACAAAAATACATTGTTTTCTTATTTCTGTTAATTGTAATGCAGCTGTGTATCTGTAAATGGGATGCAACATCATTTCTGTGAAATGTATAAATGTATGTGCAGGTCTAATTAATATATGACATAATATCAGTCTGTACACAGGTATTCCTGTTTTGCTAAGGAGCACAGTTATAATACTAAATTTCTAAAATGTAAGATCAATTTCCAGTTTATCATGCACAATAATTTTAAATGATTTGTTAAATCACATAGCAAATCTTACTCTAAGAAAACTCCAATATATTTAACAAGGTAGCAGCTTCTAACTTGCAAGTACCCAATGTACCTTATTCTAAAGGTTATTCCTATAAACATGTGTCACTTTTTTTTTTTATACATTTATCCTTTGCTTTACATAGTAAAGCCTATGCATAAAGCATATGGATGCACATTATTAGAAAACAAAAATTGCCATTCTTTTTCAATTTGGCTGAATATTTCTGGCATACGTCTTTTCTTTTAACAGAAGCTACTGTATAAAAAGTAATATTTTTATCCTGTATTAGTATTATCAGGCCTGAAGCAAGAGGTCTGCACCCACTGTAGGGGCAGACCAGTTTTAAGGACACCACAGAAAACTCACCTTAAATGCAATGCAAGTGTGTCATTCAATAATTTTACTGAGCTAAACATACATGGCATTTTCCCCAAGCAAGGGCACTTCAGTAGACTCTGTTCTTGGACTGCCCCTGAAGGGGTTCCAAGTAGGCATGCCCAGGCTAAATTTTCATCTATGTCCAGCTGAGAGCAGTGTTATTTAGCTCATAGCTCAAACAATTATAAACCAGAATGTAATTGACTGTACCAGAAGAAATCTGAGTAATGGCAGGAAACTAGGAGATCTTTTGAGTCTACAGACTCACCGACATGTACTACTGCTAGTGAAGTGAATAATCATAATCCTGTCTGATCTGTGGATAGAGTCAGATATATTATTATGCATTGCACTTACTTGTTTTGCAAAGTTTTCCACAAAGCTCTACTACTGTTTAGTAAATAGACTACTGAGAGTCATGTGTAATGGTGGCTCCTAGCCCCTTACCTACCCAATTTAATAGCACCATTAATACTGTATCCATGTGTGATGGTGGCTCCTAGCCCCTTACCTACCCAATTTAATAGCACCATTAATACTGTATCCATGTGTGATGGTGGCTCCTAGCCCCTTACCTACCCAATTTAATAGCACCATTAATACTGTATCCATGTGTGATGGTGGCTCCTAGCCCCTTACCTACCCAATTTAATAGCACCATTAATATTGTATCCATGTGTAATGGTGGCTCCTAGCCCCTTACCTACCCAATTTAATAGCACCATTAATACTGTATCCATGTGTGATGGTGGCTCCTAGCCCCTTACCTACCCAATTTAATAGCACCATTAATATTGTATCCATGTGTAAAGAGTGGCTCTAACTTATACAATTTAATAGCACCATTACTGTATCCATGTGTGATGGTGGCTCCTAATACTACCTACCAATTTAATAGCACATTAACTGTATCCATGTGTAAAGGTGGCTGCTAGCCCTTCACCCAATTTAATACTTTCCATTAATACTGTATCCATGTGTATGGTGAAACCACAACCCTTACCTGCAATTTAATACTTTCATTAATACTGTATCCATGTGATGGTGGCTCTAGCCTGCAATTTAATAGCACCATTAATGCTGTATCCATGTGTGATTATTGTTAGAAATACAGCCTTACCTACCCAATTTAATATATGCTGTATCCATGTGGCAATAGGTGATACAACTCTTACCTACCCAATTTAATAGCACCATTATTACTGTATCCATGTGTGATGAGGTATTCTAATATACCTACCCAATTTAATAGCACCATTAATATTGTATCCATGTGTAATGGTGGCTCCTAGCCCCTTACCTACCCAATTTAATAGCACCATTAATACTGTATCCATGTGTGATGGTGGCTCCTAGCCCCTTACCTACCCAATTTAATAGCACCATTAATATTGTATCCATGTGTAATGGTGGCTCCTAGCCCCTTACCTACCCAATTTAATAGCACCATTAATACTGTATCCATGTGTAATGGTGGCTCCTAGCCCCTTACCTACCCAATTTAATAGCACCATTAATACTGTATCCATGTGTAATGGTGGCTCCTAGCCCCTTACCTACCCAATTTAATAGCACCATTAATACTGTATCCATGTGTAATGGTGGCTCCTAGCCCCTTACCTACCCAATTTAATAGCACCATTAATACCGTATGCATGTGTAAAGGAGGCTTCTAGCCCCTTACCTACCCAATTTAATAGCACCATTAATACCGTATCCATGTGTAATGGTGGTTCCTGGCCTCTTACCTACCCAATTTAATAGCACCATTAATACCGTATCCATGTGTAAAGGTGGATCCTAGCCCCTTACCTACCCAATTTAATAGCTCCATTAATACTGTATCCATGTGTAAAGGAGGCTGCTAGCCCCTTACCTACCCAATTTAATAGCACCATTAATACTGTATTCATGTGTAAAGGAGGCTGCTAGCCCCTTACCTACCCAATTTAATAGCACCATTAATACTGTATCCATGTGTAAAGGTGGCTGCTAGTCCCTTGTCTACCCAATTTAATAGCACCATTAATACTGTATCCATGTGTAAAGGAGGCTGCTAGCCCCTTACCTACCCAATTTAATAGCTCCATTAATACTGTATCCATGTGTAAAGGTGGCTGCTAGTCCCTTGTCTACCCAATTTAATAGCTCCATTAATACTATATACACACAATTATGTTTCTTCTTCATAAAACTCTTTTCAAAGGTCGCCAACCACTTGTTACCAGTTCTACATACACACATTTATCATCACACACACACACACACACAATCACTTTCCCTTAACTAACCACATTCTAAAAGACTATAGTTGTTGGTGGTCATAAAACACTGCGTTTTGCAGCTCCCACTTTTAAAAGTGGTAGTGATACAAACATTTAAGGTGAGATAAAACACATTATCAACCAGGAATATCCCAGGGAAATACATTCTAAACTGAGCCTTCCACAGCCCTTAGCAAAGCAGAATCACTATCTATGAGTTCTTGTATATGCAATCCATTTTAACTTGAGCTCTCAATAGACGTAGATTGCAGAAATTGAGTGTGTTCTTATTGCTCTTATTTTGTAAAAAAGTTCTGAGTATGAGTGTGCATCAAATGTTCGGGGACCTTTCGGATGGTGTCCTTGGATATTACCTAAATATTCCACTTTCTGCTCTTTTTAAATGGTCTGTTATTTTGTATATTTATGGGTATATTTCCTTCTTTAACACTGTATTCTTCGAAAAAAAGAGAAAAAAACATGAAAAAAATAGTTATTTACTTTTGTTTGTCTGAACACGTCTGTCCTCAAATGGTCGTTGACCAATTGCACTCTTTTGATGTAGATGACTAACTTTTCTTCATATAATGAATTGCTTTGGATTTGCTCTGTATTTTATCTGCAGCCGTATTGCTGAGTGCCTGTTGTATACTTTATAGAGTTGAAATAAAAAAAAAAAATACTTTTGAACATTTCTTACATTATCTAATTTATGCCAGTTATGTTGTAATTAATATTATTGATAAATATTTAGGAGTATGGAAAACCACTTGCTAATTATTTTAATGACACTTTTGAAAGTTTAACATTTAATTACCACAGTTATATTGTTAAAACTTTATAAAAACTGCCTAATTTGTATACGTTTTAGTTTAAAAACAATGGTTCTGTACACTAGTCTACTTTATTTGTGTATATTCTTTAATCCTGACAATGCATACTATACTCTCCTGTTAAATGCCAGAAAATGAAACATTAACCCCTTAAGGACACATGACATGTGTGACATGTCATGATTCCCTTTTATTCCAGAAGTTTGGTCCTTAAGGGGCTAATCCTCATTCCCCATCCCTATAGAGTAGTCCAATTGAAGAATAAGCTATCTGTATAATTACATGGAGGAGAGCTCATTCAATAGTGTCAAAAACATGTCTACATTACAAAGTGTTTATGGTTGGAATAATCTGTCTGCCTTGTGGGGGGAGGAGATATGCGACAAAGCAGCAAAGACTTGTTACTAATCCCTTTCGACAGTCAAAAATATAACCGACATGGAAATGGTACTCCAGTCATGGGTTTGAGGTTTGCTGTCCCTCTTCTTGGAACAGTGGGGGCATGTTTCCAATAAGAACACATTATTTCGGAATGTAAGCTTCCCTATTCAATCAAGGTACTCTACTCTATTATAGATCTCACATACCAGCACTTATATTTGTAACAGAAGATGTTTGAGAAGCAAGGAATAGTGTAATGGGTCATTAAACCACAGATCTCTTGCTACCTACTATCTAATGCAGGGGTTCCCAACCACATCCTCAAGTACCCTCTACCAGTCCAAGTTTTAGGGATTACCCTGTTGTGTCTACAGTGTTTTTGTTTTCTCTAAAAACATCTTACATATCTGGGTAATCCCTAAATCCTGGACTGTTACGGGGTACTTAAGGACTGGGTTGGCAACCACTGTTCTAGAGTACCAGCTTGCAAGGGATGTAAAGCCCACAGCTTCCCAGGCACTCAGTGCTGCATGCAATCCCTACTGTTACACCATTGTAATGTAAAGTATGTAATATACTACCATCACCAAGTCAAACTACACATTATCTAGTGCTACAAACCGAAATTATACTTTTTTTTTGTAAACCATCGAACTGATATAAGTATATTGGATGACTTCAATATACCCAAATTATTCCTTAAATCATTTCTCAGTTACATTGCTTAAATTAAAGTAAAATAAAATATATAAGCCGTTTACGCAGTTTTTGTTTAGTAGTAGTTTACACTTTGGTACGTTACTAACAGAAGCAGGTTATTTTATTGTGCCTGCAAGGCTCAATAGAAACTGTTGGCAGCTGTTGTATAGCTACAACCAGCTTATCATGTAGCTCCAATCATCCTCTTTGATGAGTGGAATTGTGACTTTGGATAAACTACTTTTTTTTATTATCTTTTGTTGGTCAAGGATTATGGGAAAAAAAAAAAAAAAAAAAAAAAAACACACCAGAATGAAAGGTTGTTGCAGAGCCTCTCTTTGGTCAGACGGAAGTCTATATGTGATAATTGCTTTTGCAGCAGCTTTACGAACATTATACATATTTTTTTTTCCCCACATAATTTGTTAATGTAGTATTTATGTATTTATAGAATGCAGTCAAATTAAAATGTGTGGATTGGGAGGGCGACATTGCCTACCTGCAAGCTGATTTAAAAACTTTCTTCATAATTCAACAATGTATACAAAATAACTATGTCTTGCATCACAAAAAAAAAAGCTGAGAGTTAATTTTTACAATGCATTTCCATGTTTATGAACATACCACTGCATATTTAAAAGAAATTTCATTCAAGAATCAAAGTATTAAACTGGTTAAATGGTTTAAAATACACCAAACCATCAAGCCAGTCAGAAATACCATTAATCTTTGTCATTAATGGTACATTTTCAGGCTGGACAAAAGTGGTAAGTGTTGTCCCTCAGGGTTCTGTTTTGGGACCGCTTCTATTTAACATATTTATAAATGATCTTGACATAGGCATTGAAAGCCATGTTTCAGTGTTTGCAGATGACACAAAATGTTGTAAAGTAATAAAATGTGAGCAGGATATTGCTTTGCTGCAGAGGGATTTGGATAGATTGGGGACTGGGCACTAAAATGGCAGATTAAATTTAACGTAGCGAAATGCAAAGTTATGCACTTCGGGGTCAAGAATGCACAAGCAACTTACACCCTAAATGGTAGTGAATTAGGGATAACCACACACGAGAAGGATTTGAGAATTGTTATAGAAATTAGGCAGCAATATGCAATGTCAATCTGCTTTTGCCAAGGCCATTAAAGGACCACTATAGTGCCAGGAAAACATACTCGTTTTCCTGGCACTATAGTGCCCTGAGGGTGCCCCCACCCTCAGGGACCCCCTCCCGTCCAGCTCTGGAAGGGGGAAAGGGGTTAAAACTTACCTTTTTCCAGCGCTGGGCGGAGAGCTCTCCTCCTCCGATCCTCCTCTTCTCCTCCCCGTCGGCTGAATGCGCACGTGCGGCAAGAGCTGCCCGCGCATTCAGCTGGTCACATAGGAAAGCATTCATAATGGACGCTGGCGTGCTCTCACTGTGAAAATCACAGTGAGAAGCACGCAAGCGCCTCTAGCGGCTGTCAATGAGACAGCTGCTAGAGGAAATAGGGGAAGGCTTAACCCATTGATAAACATAGCAGTTTCTCTGAAACTGCTATGTTTATGAAAAAATGGGTTAACCCTAGAAGGACCAGGCACCCAGACCACTTCATTATGCTGAAGTGGTCTGGGTGCCTAGAGTGGTCCTTTAAGGTTTTGTCATGTATAAATAGGGGCATAAATTCTCAAGATGAAAATATAAATTTTGCCTCTTTATAAATTGCTGGTAAGACCACACCTTGAATATGCTGTGCAATTTTGGGCACCTGTTCTAAAGAAGGATATCATGGCACTTTATAAAGTGCAGAGACAGTCTACAAAATTGATAAAAGGAATGGAGCATTTTAGTTACGAAAAAAGGTTAAAAAATGTAAATGTCTTTAGTTTGGAAAAACGGCGCATCAGATGGGATATGATAACATTATACAAATATATTTGGGGCCAGTTCAAACAATTATTCATAAACAGGGCTATACATAGGACAAGAGGTCACACATTTATGCTGGAAGAAATGAGATTTCATCTAAGGCAAAGAAAATGTGTTTTTTTTTACAGTAAGAGCAATAAGGATATGGAATTATCTGCCTGAAGAGGTAGTTTTATCAGAGTCCATACAGATATTTAAACTGCAATTGGATAAGTACTTGCAAAAACAAACATACAGGGATATAATTTCTAATTAGTAGGGTAATAGCTGCTTGATCCAAGGAGACATCTTTTTTGGGGTCAGGAAGGAATTTTTTCCTAGTTTGTTGCAAAATTGGAGGCACTTCAGACTAGGTTTTTTCACCTACTTTTGGATCAACAGCAAAAACATATGTGAGGAAGGCTGAACTTGATGGACGCAAGTCTCTTTTCAGCTATGTAACTATGTAAAAGAGAAGCTCAGCTAGTTATTGTTGACTTGAATAGAAATATTTAAACAGGAGAACTGCTTACATTTCATGGAACCACAAACTATAAACTGGTTTTATCTTAAGTCCTCAACTGCATTCCAGTTGATATAACACAATATTGGTTCAGATAGATTTAATTACCATCATTAAAGTCTCTTATTGTTAATCGATAAATGTTGCTCCAGTATTATGGATTTTCAAAATATATCAAAAATAGATATTCTACTAAGCGCTGAAATTATTTGGTGATTCAATTCCATTTATTGAGGTCATAATCCTTTAAAAATGGTCTTAAAAATATTGACAGCAAAAAGGTGTTTAAAAGTGCTTTTTTTGACTAGCAGTAGTAGCCAGCAGGCAAATGGGTGTCAATAGAATAGCCACATTGGCACAAAGAGGTGCTCCACATGCCATGAGTGGGGACCTTTGCTAAACAGGGAGCAGCCTGTGGCTCCTCACTGTACTCATTGACTAGCCACTGGATAGTAAAGTACAGGGGGGACCTGGCACAGATGTAGGAAAAAAGATAATTGATGGTTAGGGGACAGCCACTAAATGTTTATTTTATTTACAGATTTTCACAAGGTCCAACCCCCAACACACAGAATATAGGTTAGCAGTAACAAACTGAACTAGAATAAAGGTATTACCGAGCCTTAGAGTGGTCAGACTTATACTATGTTGTCAAATACAAGCCTAGATCAGGATAACAAAGAGACAGCAAAAACAAGAACGAGTACAGGTACACAGTATATCAAAAAGATAAACAGCACAGGAAAGGGTTACAGAGAACCTCAGGGTTAAGAACAAAGCCTTGGTCAATACCATAAACAACACTATATGGCAAGGAACACAATAAAGGGTACTGAGGACAGAAACCATGATAGGGCACAGCAAATAGGGCCAGATAAGCTTAAATACCCACAAAACGTGCATGAACATGGGTTCGGGACTGATGTGGACCAATTTGAGCCAGAAGTGATACAATGTCCCTGTTGCCCCTTTAAGAGCACACTCTGGACGCAGGAAGCATTCTTTTCTTTGCAATTTGGGCTGTTACATTTGGCGCGCATGCCCCATTCAGAGTTTCTTGAGCTGAATAGAGAATACTGACCACCACTCGGACTGGGTAGGTAACGCTACACAGATTGTGATGACTGACCAATATAAGGGGGGGAAAGGAGGATCCTAGATTACAGAAGGCTCGGGCAGCATTGGGCAGTGGCTATGCTGCTTGGCTATTTCCTAAAAAAAAAGTACATATTCCTATCTCCACAGACGCAGTTGGTATAAGCTGATAGGGCACTGTTTTTTTTTCTCACGCTGAAGGACTGTCACTAACACTACACTAACAATCTGTCCACCAGTGGCGGATCCAGAGCCTGACCTCGGGAGGGGCACTTGCAGATTATTTAGAGAAATAATCCAGACACAATACCCACTACAGCTCAATGTAGTAGTTATGGTGCCAGTAGTGCCGGGACCCCCTCCCAGAGTAAGTAGTCAAACCGTTTAAGAACAGTTTGACAACTTACCTGAGGTCTGCTTGGAAATGGGGCTGTAGTAGGGCATAGGAGCAGGGGTGCAGTGTGTGTGTTTGTGTAAGAAGGACTGTGTGAGCAGTGTGTGTGTGAAAATTGCAGTGTGAGTGAGGGGCAATGTGTGTATGGGGGGAAGTTTGTGTGTGGGGGCCAATGTGTGTGTAGGGTGTGTGTGTATTGGGGGCAGTGTATGTGGGCAATGTGTGTGTATGGGGGAAGTGTATGTGCGTGTATGGGGGCAGTGTATGTGTGTGCGTTGCAGTGTGAGTGGGGGGCAATGTGTGTGGGGGCAATGTGTGTGTGGGGGGCCAATGTGTGTATTGGGGGCAGTGTATGTGGGCAATGTGTGTGTATGGGTGAAGTGTATGTGTGTGTATGGGGGCAGTAGTGTATGTGTATGGTGGGCAATGTGTTTATGTGGGGCAGTGTGTGTGTATGGGGGCAGTGTGTTTATGTGGAGGCAGTGTGTGTGTGTATGGGGGCAGTGTATTATGTGGAGGCGGTGTGTGTGTATGGGGGCAGTCTATGTATGTGGGGGCAATGTGTGTGTGTGTCTAGGGTATATGTGTGATAAGGATGGGGGGCTTTTTTTTTTAAAAAAAATAATTTGATAAAATTATTATTTTTTTTTTATTATTTAAAATATACATAATGTCCCCCCTCGCTTCTTACCATTGTTTAGGGAGGAGGGGGGACATCTCGATCCCTGGTGGTCCGATGGGGAATCTCTGGTGGTCCATGTGGTGAGAGTGAACTCTAGCTCTGGTCTCCAGGGCTAGAGTTCACTCTCGCGAGATCAGGAGCTTTGCCGTGGCAACGCTCCGTGCTCGCGAGAGAAGGACCTGGAGGAGCTGCAGACTGAGCTCCCCCGGGTCCTCTCTCTCTCCCTCCTCTGCTGGCAAACAGTGCCTGCGGACGGGAGAGGGAGATCTCTGATCTCCCCTCCGGTCCATGAATCACATTGCAGGGCTGGCGCTTGGACAGTGTCAGCCCTGCATTAGCCGGCAGGGGAGAGGGAGAACCTCGGATTCTCGGGGGGGGGCAATTGCCCCGTTGCCCCCCCCCTGGATCAGCCAGTGCTGTCCACGTACATGTTACCTCATCATGAGTGATGGAATGCGAACTAATACAATTATCCAGGTAAAACTGCTAACTGATGTTCTCTTAAACTTCATCCAATATGTAGCACTTTATGGATTAAAATTACATACTGATGCTACAAATACCCCCCCCCCCCAACCTAGCATAGTGATCTACACAATGGTCATCTATATCTTTGCCTACATGCAGCAAGAGTGAGGTTAAATAGCAGGAGTTCCACGTATCCCCACTTAATCAAGAGAAAGCCTAATAAATTCTTGCTAGAGTTGCAGGTAGGCTGACCAAATTTCCACTCCATAAGTAGCACAATATTTTTATATTATTACTTGCACACCCTCCTCAGAATTAATAGCGTCAAGCTACTTCATTACATTTCCAGGAAGATTCCCAGACTCGTTGACATAAGTGCACTAAACAGACTGACACATTTTTCCATCATGAGAAACAGTATACAACAGTAGGAAATTACCTATCTCTTCAATTGCCACAAAGACACCAAATGCACACCTCTTCCCACATCCTTTCCAACAACGGGAAGGAAAAGGGAAAATAAAAGGCTTTTTTGGTAAAATCTATGTTACAGAATGGATGTGGCTGAGACAACAAATATTACCAAGCAATAAAGGTATTGATAGGTCACACCCACTTTCTTCTTCTAGATAAAAGTAGATTCCTAAGTGTTGTATTGTTTATCCGTATTTACGCATTAATGCCTTCCATGTTCGAACATACGTTCTTGGGTTCGGATAGAGGCTTAATTAAAACAAGAATTACTACTGTCAAATAGTCAAGACTAAACCTAAAGCTGTGAACATCACAATAAGTATGAAAGCACACAAATGTCAGCTTATAAAGAAAGACCCGAGGTTCATTATGTACCCTTGTGGAGGATTGACTCGTCGAGACAAAAAGTGTACCATGAGATGGCCTGGTTGGTTTTACTTTTAATTATTTGATATGTTGTCTGCACTGCCTTTGAGTGATTTATTTTTTTTTTTTTAATGTGAGTTTTATTCATGTTGTTATTGTATAATAAATTGCTAAACAGTACTACTCTATATTTGTACATATGTGTTCTGGGTTTTCTATGGCAGTAGAACAGCAACGTTTCGACCAAACCGGTCTTTGTCAAGCTGTTTGGTCGAAACGTTGCTGCTTCTACTCATTTTGTGACAATAAATCTGCCTGCAGCTTACACAATTGGAGTGCCTGTGATTCTGTTCTACTGCCACAGAAAACCCAGAACACATATGTACAAATATAGAGTAGTACTGTTTAGCAATTTATTATACAATAACAACATGAATAAAACTCACATTAAAAAAAAAAAAAAAAATCACTCAAAGGCAGTGCGCTGGGAGTGTTTGCGGTTCCTGCATCTTCTTGTAAATACTGGGTTTTCTATGGGACATTTTTCATGATAATATAAAACCCTGGGTTTCACAGTCGATCCAAGGATATTTCTGCTATATTGATTTATGATGTGCATTCACTTCAGGCTGACCTGCCTATTCTTTGTGCAGACCCATCCCCTTTCCAGTCTGGTGTGCATCACTGACCCTGCTACTCCTAAAGCAGGATGTCGGCGGATGTGGCAAAATATGGTGCCCTTTTATCCTGCCCCAGCAACAAGAAGCCGATATTGTGGGGTATGGAACCCGAGGGAACTTAATTAGATAATTGTTGCTAATTTGTTTTCTTTTTTAAGGAGTGGAAGAGAGGTACATCACATATGGCAAATTCAGGTACAACATCCCTAAGGTGGAAGATGGGGGGGTGAGAAGTTTAAATGTTCCAAATTATTGAACTAATGTTAGGCAAAATTGGTTATGTGTTATGAGTTACAACTGCAGATATAAAGTAGCTATGGAGCTAGGAGTGCTCTGGCACCCCTCCCCCCACTCTTTTCAAATGTGTTTTATTATAGATACATTTGTTTCCATAACAATAAGAATAACGATATGAATATATATGTAAATAACATACATTCAAAAAACAGAAAAACAAATAACCGAGTAATCCAATCATTGGATATAATATCACATATCATTCGATACAATATGTAATAATGTTTTTTCAGTAAAGATAATACTTATGTTATGTGCAACATGGTGGTTAAAATAATATCATATAAATAACTTTGTTACCTGGTCAGGTGAAGTTACAAGTTGTAATTTATATCGATTCTTGACATCCCATTCCCAGAGTTCCCATTCATATTTCAGAACATTAACTGTATTGGAAGTTGGTCTAAAGGCTAATTCACATCACTTGTTTTCTAGAGTATTCTGCTACATCTCAGTCATAGAAGGAATAGTAGCTGTTTTCCAATATCGAGGAAGGACCGAAGTGGCTGAAGCCAATAATGATGGCTTAAAATAATTATTTTAATTTAGGACAAATCATCTGGAAATCTCTTCAGGAGACACAACTCTGATGTTATAATGGGGATTTGATCAATGATGAGTTTAATTATAGTGGGAATATCTTCCAAATACTGCTTTAGTGAAGGGTGTAACGGATCACCTGGCACCCGACTGGGTACCTCGTTGAAGGATGCTCCTAGCGCTTCCTGAAGACTCCAAGCACTGCAGCAGACACCACAACCACCGAACCGGAGAAGCATACGAATGCTCTCAAGCATATGAATGCTGTAAACAGCTGAACAGGAAAAGCATACAATCAGCTTACACTCCTGGCAATCAGCATACAATCCAACTCCCCTAATAACGAGACGACACTTCGTTTTGAGGTCAAGCAGAACTGACTGTACTGGCACATACAGCCTCTTTTATTCACAATCCACAAACATAGTACTGCCCACAGGGTTTTGAAATACAACCAATCAATCCGTACAATACACACAGACACTCCCACACAAAATCCTCCCCTCTGCAGTATTATAAAACATATCACAGGGACCCCAAAACATGCAATAACCCCATAAAAAGATTCCGCAGAACATATACAGGCTATATGAAAAATAATTACTGTATAATGTGTCCCCTGTTGTATAGTTTAAAACTACTGCACGATGTCTTTGTGCACCAAATACCGGCGAGATGGCACTGTGTAGAAAAGTCCAAACAGTGTCTGTGAGTTAAAATGGCCGCCATCCATTGTTCTCTCCATGTGCCTCTGATACATGAAATGGTGGCCACCCAGTAACTCCACAGTTTGCCTGGTAGTCTATCCAGCCGGACCAACAGATGAAACACATGGGGAACAGTGCAACAAACGAAGGGAATCATAAAAAATATGGAGAATAGTCATATTTGTGCACCATCTCCAGTTTTGTCACAGGGCACAAATAGTGTTTTCAAATGCCATATATCCCAGGGCCATAGTCAGAAGGTAGGAGGCGGGCAAGCAGCCCCCTCCAAGAACACGTGGCGAGGCCTGTTCCGCCACAAAGGGCAAGACCAAAAGACATGATACAGAGTACCAACTTGACCGTACTCCCTCCAGCATGAGTTAGTCTGAGATAGTTTCAATTTAAAAAGTCTAGAGGGAGTCAGGTACCATCTGTATATAAGTTTGTAATGAGACTCCAAAAGCACCGCAGAGCATTACCTGTGTAATACCATGTAATGCCATCAGAATCTCGTGCCATTCCTCAACTTTAAATTTGTTTATCAGTTTGTTTTTCCATTTTGTCATATAGTCCAATTTTGGACCAGATTCCCCAGCAAAATAAGTATAGCACATTGAAATGGTGCGTTTCCGACCAGGATCTGAATGATAAGTTTTTTCAATTGATGACATAACTTTATGTATGTTCAGATCTTGATTAGACACATTAAAATGATCACTAAGTAAATCCATCATTTGTCTGTGCATCAGGGCATTAGAGGCGTCCAGACCAAACTTGGTCTGTAATTGGTCGAAAGGCAAAACTTCTTAGACTAAAATAAATCATTAATGTGTATGACAGAAGGGGAAAGCCAATATTGCTCATCTAGATCAGGTAACACAGATCAAGAGAACAGCCCTGGACTAGGTAGTTGAAGGGTTGATCTTTTTATACAAGACATCCCAAGCCGTAATAGTGACTTTGGTAGTTGGATGGAGGCAACCATAGCACTTCTTTTATTAAATGAAGAAGAAATTTTGTAGCCTCCATCTCAAGCCACAGAGGGGCATCCATGATCCCTACCCCCGTCTCTAAGTAGCCTGCCTGGATCTAATGAGCATTACTCCCCAACTTTACTGCTTCAGGAAAATAACAGGAGGCTACTTACATGAAGTTAGAAATCTCTCTCATAACCACATATAATAAAGTGTTAGTAGCATCCTGGAGCATCCTCCATATTACGAGATAACGCCCCCAAAAAAGAAAGCAAATCAAAGTGTTGTTAGTCAAGGAAGATGAGGCATCTGACACAGAAAGGAGAAAGACTCAAGTTGGAGCGGTTATTATACTTTTACTATTATCTTTTCCTCTACCTATAACAGAACTAAACCCAGCTCCTTAACCCACATCTAGACAGAGCCGGTGCAAAGATATTTGCATACACAGGCGAAGCCTCACCACCCTCAAAGCCTAAACTTGTGGGTTTCTGGAAGGATACATAACCTTGCGCTAGAGCAATCACTTGGTGCCCCTACCTTCCTAAGTAGGCACCACATTAGTTTCACACCTCCAGACACCAAGAGTTTCTGATGCAAGATGCTGCAGCCCTTCCCTTTATCATGTAATTAAACCTCACCAACTCCATTGCCGACACCTGTGGTGGTGCGGCTATCAAGGAAATGCCCAAAGTCTATAAACACTTTGTATCTATCGTGGTTTCCAGTTTGGTTATCCAAGAGCTAGTTTTTTTTATATACTTTGATTCCTGGTTTTTGATATTGGCTTGTCTCGACTGCTCTGTTCTCTGTATTCCTTGGCTTGGCATAATGATTTTGTGTATCTACATTGCCCTTGACTTTGGCCTATAATTTGACATTTCCATCTTTTGTTCTTTGCACAGAAGGTCAAATAATACGTTTTTTTTATTCTTGTGTGACCTTATTCTGCATGTTGGGTTACCCATCTTGGCAGTCTCTAAACTCCTTTAGCATTTTGTACCTTTTAGCTCCTTTTGTTTTTCTTATTCCATCTTTTGAATGTCTCACCCCACTTAGTGTATCTTATCACCCCCTTTTTGTGAGTTTTTCAGCCCCTGCGTGTGCTTCTTACAGCTCCGGTCCCTTTCTGTCTCTCTTACATCCTCACTGCCCCATCGTATAGCTCTCACTTCCCCCAGCCTCTTTGTCTGTCTATAACTTTCTCAGTGTCTCTCTTCCATCCCCTGTCTCTTTTTGGGTCTCTTTATCCATCCCAGTCCATTTATATCTCTATCACACAGCCAGTCAATATATGGTCTCTCCCCCACGCCCAGTCTCTTTGTGGTCTCTATCAAACAAAAGTACAAATATAGGAATTTCCTAAATATACAGTAGAGGGTGCCAGACACCAGCAAAGTGTGAATGTATATGAACCAATCTTTAGATATGGACATAAATATAAATATGCAAAAAAGAGAAGACAAAATTATAGGTTAATACATTTATTTAAAAATAATACTTTAAACTAAATAAACACAGTCACAAAAGGATATGGCACATGGACTGTGCAAATTCGCCTATGCCCACTCAGGGGCTAGAGTCCTATCACCATACAGCAAAGACCCAAGTCCACCTTAAAGCCAGAACCCCACTGGATGTGACTCCTGGAGGCTTCTATGTCTTTTTCTAAATGTGGATGCAGAAGTGACTGTCTGGGAAACTCCTGTTTGCAATGCTCGCCTTACGCATTTTTGTCCCAGATGTCCATTAGGACTTCCTCAGTCAATGCATTTGGTCCTTTTGAACATCCCGGTCCAAATGGATCTGGTGCATGTGCGTAACAGCACTTCTTCCCCATATAATTATACATGATGATGCTTGGGGAAGCCTAATATACATGCAACTATGGAGCACAAATAAACTTTTTTAAACACCTTTGTGGTCTCTTCCCCCCAAGTATTCCTTCTTACCTCATGTTGTAGCATGGCCTTGTAGGCCATAGTACAGTTCTTATTTATTCTCTATGCGGTCTCACAGGAAGCTGCTCGCTGCTCCCAAGTAGAGGACAAATAAGTAGAAGATAAAAAAGATCCTCTACCATGGCCCACTAGGCTACACTACATGAAGTGACTAGCAGCAGGGGGAGAGCTGTGCAACCCCCTCCTGCTGATCAACACATTGCACCCCCTCAGGCCAGTGTGCCCTTCAGACAACTGCCTGTGCTGCTATGGTAGCTCCGGCCCAACATCTAGAGTAGTAGTCCCCATGAAAACATCTAGAGTGAAAAATGTTTGTCTATTCTTGTGACACTGAAAAGGTCAAATATACAATAAGCTTTTTGTTTCTCTACACAGAAGGAATTACGCCTCCAATGTTAAAACAAAAGGACCATGATCATCTCATTAGCATTACAGTAATTTTGACTGGCATTGTGTCCTTTTTCCTTACTCATTCTTATTTGGGTAGACAATGCAAGGCAAAAGGTTAATGAAAGATAATCAGTTTAGAACAAATGTCATAGGGTTAGTTCTAATTTGCCAATAATGTTTATACTTCAATATCGAAAAGATAAGATGAAAGTGCTAGAATCCTTTACACATATATAAAAGAAACATGTGTCTTAAATGCCAATGAGTTAATCTGCTTGTAAAGGCATTCAAGGGAAATTGACATTTTTAAACACAATACAATCCTCTTAATTTCATCAAGACTTCAGCCTATGTTTCTTTTAAATCCACTTGCAGTGCAAAGAAAACAAATCAAGGATCTGATGCAGCTTCAAATAGAATAAAATCAGGGGCCAGGTCATATTTCAAAGAGTGTTGAGGTGAAGAATAGAATGAGAAGAATCAAAAGCTAACATCCCATTAGCAGATGCTTAGAACTAGTTTGTGGATAAGGTAAACTGGGAATAGTCTGATAACAAAAACTTCAAAAATAATGACAAAGCAACTACTAATAACTTGAGTTAACATCACATTAACACAACCAACACAAAAGGCTTAGTTGTTGCTGTGACCTTGTGTAAATATGGATTCTCAATGGCCCATTTGAAAATGAATCATTGTGATCATATAGTCTGACCCAGGTGTGGTTAAAAAACTATATAAAAAATATCTAAAAAATCTAAAAAAACTCGCATCAATCTTTCATATATCCATGTGATAGCTCAAAAAGCATGCAATTCAAAGTGGTATTCTCTCAAAAAGAGAGAGAGAATCTTCCTGGCAATCGGATTTATCCATAGAACAGCAAAATGATATTGTTTATAATGTTTATATTAAAATGAACACTTTTGACACCTTTACATCTAGCTCCACCAGTATAAACAAAATTTGTTTTTAATGCCAAAAATACTCGCTTTCACTAAAGTTCATGTTGTATTGCAATAGAATGTATGATTCAGTAAACCTTACAGGGTTTTGTATGTATAGACTGGACTGCTCTTTTGGAGTAAGTCATCTATAGCAAAAAGAAGGTCTAAGTCTAAATCTTTGCCTCCAGTTTTGTCTTCCAAAGTAGTCTCACTGTGCTCATACGTCATGCACCATATGCACCAGTTCAGTATCACAAAAGTGACCAGATATGAAAAACACAAAATGAAATAGAACAAACTGAACATGCAATTTTCCCCTTGATAAAAGCTCTTCCTCATATATTTCACTACATGTAAGGGACAGAATAAACACCAACACTGTACACAAACACAACCTTGCATTTACATACCAACACTACATCCAAACACACCCCTGCATTAAAACAGCATTACATAAAATAAACGTACATTAAAACGCTAACACTACACACACCTTTGCATTTAAATGCCAACACTACACACAAACACACCGCCTACACAAACATATAGAACCCTGCAAGGATGGGTAAATGATAGATCCACATCTGGCAAAGCAGCAATGGAGATGTCCGTCAGGTGAGGATCTACTTTTTGAAGACCTCTGCTATATACAGGGATGCAAACATATTTGTAGCACCAGGACCCTCTCTTCATTGGTTACGTTGCTGCACCAGGGAATCTGTATCAGCTAGTAACCAGCTTTGGACC